AGAGAGAGAGAGAGAGAGAGAGAATCTTCAGCAGGCTCCAAGTTCAGCATGAAGCCCAACACGGGGCTAGATCCCTCAACCCTGGGATCATGACCTGAGCTGAAATCAAGAGTCAGGAGGCTCAAACGACTGAGCCACCCAGGCGCCCCCATTTTACCTACTTTTAAGTGTACAATTCAGTGGCATTAAGTTCACTCACACTGTAGTGCAGCTGTCACTGCTACCTACTTCTGAAATTTTTCATCACCCCAGACAGACTGTACCCCATTAAGCAACAACTCCACATCGCCCTCACCCCTGCCCCAGTAACCTCTAATCTACTCCCTGTCTCTGTGGAATTGCCTCTTCTAGATATTTCATGCAAGCGGAATCAGCTAACATGTGACCTCTCGTGTCTCTTGTACTCAGCATCACGTGTTCAAGGTTCGTCCATGTCCCAGCACGAATCGTTCCTGTTTATGACTGAAGAATATCCCACCACATGGAGGGACCACATTTTGTTTGCCCTTTCTTGGCTGGTGGACATCTGGGTTGTCTCCACCTTTCAGCTGTCGTGAGGAGTGCTGCCGTGAACACGGGCCAGCAAGAATCTCAGTCCCTGCCTTCACTTCTCTGGGGCATACACCCAGACACGGAACTGCAGGGTCCTATGGAGATTCTACTTTTTCGGAACCTGGCCTCCCTCTCCAAAGCCTGGGGCTGGTCCTTGGCATCCAGCCACACTGGCCAAACCTTCTGTGGGGAGGGCAGGGGCAGGGCCTCTGGGCAGAGCCAACTCGAAGACCCTAAATGGAGTCTGAGCTCTTTTACCTTGAGAGTTGGGGGCAGGTTGACAGCATCGATCTCCTGGATTTGATTAGCACTCAGCACCAACTCTTCAAGATTTAGAAATTTCAGGAGGTCTTTATCCACCAGGCTCACCTGGAAGGGAAGGAAAGGAAGTTGAGAGCTCTTGCGGGTGAGGCAGCTTTGGAGCAGAAACAGGGTCCACGGGAGGCCACCGACAGGAGGCCACTTGCCTCCTGAGGGAGTCACCTCGAACACACCAACCCCTTTCGTCTCCCCTACCGACCCTCTTACAGCCTCTCCAGCACATTCCACCAGGATCGCAGGGCTCCGCCTCTGCAGTGACCTCTTAGCCCCCCGCCTCACTCCCCGGAGGCGCTGTACAGCTACCAGCCCAGTGTCCCGTGTCCCCAGCTGGACTGTGTGCTCCCAAGGGCAGGGATCCCATGTTCTGTGCTGTCTACCCCTGAGGCCTTAAGGAATCACTAGTTTACACACAGCAGGATCAGACCGGAAGTTCAGAGACCTATCTGTGAACCTTCAGTTCTCTGTGGCCTCAAAGACATCAGGGCCCTTCCTGGCGACTGTGCCAGTGTGCCCAGGATTGAGGCGTTCCCGGGACACTTTCAGCGCTGATGCCCGAAAGTCCCAGGAAAACTGACAGGAGTTGTTCCCGCCCCTCCCACCTGGTACTGTGTAGATCCACAGTTTCTCTGGGAAAGGGGAAGCCAATGTAGGGAGGTTGAGTTTGCAGATTGGGGCTCTGTTACCGGTAGAGGCAAAGAAGGCTTCTCAGTAACAGAAATTAATACAGTACCATGCCAACCCTCCCCAACCCCGGCCCCCCACAGTTTAAGTAAAACCGACACAGACACTTCAAAGGTCTCTCCGAGGACCCAGGAGCCCCAAATCAGAAGTCAGCTGTAGAAAACATACCTGGATTCCCCGGGGGTGAAGGAAGAAGACACGGAACAAATGAGCAGCTGGCCCTGGCAGGTGGAGGCGCTGGTGAAGTTAATTAGGTCCGAGCTACCTCCCCATCCTTCCTTCTACTCACCACCTAGGTCTCACCACTAAGCTCTTTAAGGGGCATGGCCTCCTTGACATCAACCTCTGGCACTCACCTGCTTGTCCACCACTCGTAGGGACCTGAAGTAGGAGTAGAAGAAGGTGTCCTTGAGCATCAGGGGATTCTGGATGGCCAGTTCTCTCAGAAAACGGTCCTCTGCACTGGAGCCCTCCAGCAGAGCCCAGGGGGAGTGGGGGCTGCGGACCAGGCCCAACAGGGCCTCCACCGTCTCCTCCCCGGGGCTCACGGCCTCCTCGTCTCTGGGGATCAGCTCTCTCCATGTTCGCCAAGTTCGAGGAAGAAAACGTGACTTATTCTGCAGCAGTGGAGGTGGAGAAGTTCGCTACTCGTGACTCAGCCCTCTCAAGGATTCGAGACTCCCCAAAAAGAGTAGATGGTAAGATAGGACCATCAGGGATCAAGAGTTTAGAAGTTTAAGCAGTGAGTAATCAATACTTCCGACTGATCATCAGCCATGGATAGAACTACAAAGAACTGCATTCCTGCCTTTAGGAATTTACTCAAGCTGGGAACCCTGAAGAAGCAGGTGAAAGCAACCTAACAGTTAAGAAGGATTTATGTACTAAAAGCTAGAGGCGCAAAAGGCAATCTGGGGGATGTATTAACCAAGGAACGGCTTTCGAGGAAGAAGTACCATGGCTGAAAAGTGAATTCAGAATTTAGAGGCCACAGCGGACGGGGAAAGGTTGGGTCCCAGAGCTGACTTTCTCCCAGCCCTTCCCCCAGGAGAAGTGGAGACATCGGTGAAACCCAACAGCACCTTGCACAGTAGACACTCAACAGTGTTTGTTGAGGAGACAAACAAATCCATTAGTTCCTTGATTGGTGCCTTGGTTTTCTCCTCTATGAAAATGGGCACACAGACCTCCCCTTAGCCCCTACCAGTGTGGGGGGGCCTCAGCTTCCCAGCAAGCAGGAGGGGAACATTCCAGACCCTCAAGATATTCCAGGGCACATCCTGGGGGCTGCAGGTTCTCAATGGCCTGCTCCTCATCCCCACCAGGAGCACTAGCTGATGGGGGTGGGGTGCGGGTAGACGCACCTGCTCCAGCCCGCAAAAGCCACGACTTGCACCCCAGGGAGAAACTTCAGAAGGGAAGAGTTTCCGGCCTTCGAGACAAGGAGCCAGGAGAGGAGGGAGGGAGCCGCCTCTCCCCCAGACCCACCGGCCTCTGGAGGCAGCAGAACCGGGCCTGCTCAGGACCACGCCTTCTGCGCTCTGGGGCACCTGAGGGTTGAGAAGCTCTTGGCCCAGGCAAAAACTTTCCACCTCAAAGGGAGCCTGGTGTTTCTAACGGAGAAGCCCTACCCCCCGGTCAGCCCGCCGGGCTCAGGTCTAGGCGGGGTCCCGCCCTCCTCTGCGGGTCAGACCTGCGGGGGGGGGGGCGGGGGGGGGAGGAGCTCTCCCGTCGGCCCTTGCGGCGTCCCAGCCCCCACCCCAGCTCAGGACGCTCCCTAAACGCCCAGATCCAAACCTCCCCTCAGGCTTCTCCGGATCCGCCAAAGCCTGTGCCGGCGGCCCGGGCCCCTCGGCGCCGCAGATCCCCGCGTCCCTCCTCCGGCCGCCCCCGCCGGCGCCCGCACCCAGCTGCCGGTGCCGCACGGGAACTCGCGAAGACACAACTGCCTCAGGTGCTCCCGGACCGCGGCGCTCACGGTCCCGCCGGGCGTCTCCATGCCCGCGCGGCCGCCTCGCCTGGCCGGTTGCTAGGCAACCGCCGGGACACACGTGCGCGCTCACCGGGGCCGGGCGCGCGATCCTCCCGGCGGGGGCGCGCGGCACGCAGGCGCTCCAGGTGAACCCAAGACCAGCCGGGGTCTGCGGACTTTTCCCGGCCGGCCGGGAAACCGAGACCCTGACTCAGGCGGGGACGACCTGGCTTTTTGATTCTGACCCTTTTGCGCCCGCAGCTGCAAAATGGGACAATAGTACACTTCCCACCACCACCAGGGGCCGTAACTGCTGTAGCTCCTAGCAGGCGCTTCCCACCTGAGAAAAGTGCTGATTATCGTTCCCATTTGACAGATCTAGGAAAGAGAAATGAGCCCAAGGTCAAACAGTCTCAAGATAAACCAGTGGATTCCAATGTGGATCGCTTTAACCCCTGAGTCCGGGGTTTTAAATCACTGTCTACATATATAACCGTTTTAGCACCAAGACCCCATTATAGACGGAAGCAAGCTCGCACATCATCTCTCCATCCTAAGTATCCAGCATCTAGCCTGCTACCCAAACAGTAAGGGCTCCCGGGCACACGTTTGAGAAACAAATGGGATGATTTGGTTCCTATAATTTGGAAATGCAACATCTTTACTGAGCTATAATTTGCGAACCCCCAAATCCACCTGTTTAAAGTGTGCAACTTTGTGTGATTTTTAGTATAGTCCCAATGCAACGATATTCATAGTGCAACTATCACTGTTATCTAATTTTCAACTTTTTTCTCACCCCAAAAGGAAACCCCATACCCACTAGGCAGTCAATCCCCATTCCCCCTTCCGTCCATCCCCTAGCAACCACTAATAGGCTTCTGTCTCTATGGATTTTCTTCTCCTAAATATTTCATATTAAATGGAATCATACAATATTTGCCATTTTGTGTCTGGCTTCTTTGGCTCAGCATCATGTTTTCAAGGTTCACCCATGTTGTAGCAGGTGTCCGTGCCTTATTCCTTTCTATGGCTGAATAATATTGCATTGTATGAATGGACTACATTTTGCGTATCCATTCACCCACTGAGGGACATTTGTTTTCACTTTTTAGCTCTTATGAAAAATTCTGAAACGTTCCTGTACATGTTTCTATGGCAACATATGTTTTCATTCCTCTTGGGTCGATACCTAGGAATGAAATTGCTGAATCATATGGTCACTGTATGTTTAACAGTTTGAGGAAACTGTTTTACACAGAAGCTCTGCTATGTCACCTCCCCATCAGCAATATATGAAGATTCCGGTTTTTTAATAGCTTCACTAACACCTATTATTTTACTGCTTTGTTTTGTTTTTATAATAGACATCTTAGTTGATGTGATGTATCTCGTTGTGGTTTTTATTTGCATGTCCCTAATGCCTGGCTAGTGATATGGAGCATCTTTTCATGTGCTTTTTGGCCATTTGTGTATCTTCTTTGGAGAAATGTCTTTCAAATTCTTTAGTCATTTAAGACGATTTTTTGTCTTTTTATTGTTGATTTTTAAAAGTTTTTTTAAAATATATTCTGGATATTAGCCCCTTGTTTTACATACAATTTCCAAATATTTTCTCCCATTCCATGGTTGTCTTTTCAATTTCTTGATAATGTCCTTTGATCCACAAAAGTCTTTAATTTCAGTGAAGTGTCATTTATCTATTTTTTCTTATGTTGCTTGTGCTTTTGGCATAATTTTAAAGAAACTATTGCCTAATCCTAATAAAATTGAGTTTGAGTGTTCTTTATATATTTTGTCAGATTTGTGGTTTGCAAATATATTTCTCCCAGTCTAGACTTGTCTTTTCTAAACAGTGTCTTTAGAAGACCAAACATTTTTAATTTTGACAAAGTCCAATTTATTGATGGGATCCTTCCGAAAACACCCACTGTGGTAGACATCTTTCATCCTTTTTGACTGTGTGTCAAACACCTTTACTGTATCAGAACACTTTTACTATTATTATTAGAGAGAGAGAGAGAGAGAGAATGCACAAGTGGGGGAGGGGTGAGGGGGAGAGAGAGAGAGAGAGAATCTTAATCCACACTCAGTGTGGAGCCTGGCTTGGGGCTAGATCTCACCATGATGAAATCATGACCTGATCCGAAAACAAGAGTCAGATGCTCAACCAACTGAGCCACCCAGGTGCCCACACCTTTACTTTTATTAGAAAAATTCTCCAAAACTGGGCTATAAGACAAAATAAGAGCCACATGTCCTTTTAAAGAATAAGATAAATATCCATGAGTGATATAAGCAAATCAGAAAGATGAATTGGGGATGACTCCTGGGATTTTTAAAAAAAATTGTTTTTTTATTTGACGTTTATTTATTTTTGAGACATAGAGAGACAGAGCATGAACGGGGGAGGGTCAGAGAGAGAGGGAGACACAGAATCTGAAACAGGCTCCAAGCTGTCAGCACAGAGCCCGATGCGGGGCTCGAACTCACGGACTGTGAGATCATGACCTGAGCCGAAGTCAGTCGCCCAACCGACTGAGCCACCCAAGTGCCCCGACTCCTGGGATTTTAATGAGGCAACTAGGTGGTTGATCTGCAGTGAGGGAAAAGAAGTCTCTAGAGGAGTAATCAAGAGTCCCATCTCGAATGAGTTAAGTTCAAGATGCCCATTGACATCTATCCCATGTCAAGTCAGCAGCTGGATAAGAGTTGAGAGCACAGGGACGAGATCAGCTCTGGGTGGCCCATAGAGCCCAATGCACAACAGAAGAAACAGTTGGGAACCCTCGTCCACCCCAAGTCCCCCTCCAGCCCCTGCTGTCTCTTTCCTCCTCTGATCCAGTCTTCTGGACAGACTGGTCGGAGGGCCCTTTTACCTCACTTCCCAAACTGCCACAATATGGCTCCTGCCCTAACAACTTATTCAAACTCCCCAAGCAAAGTTCCCAGTGACCTTATGTTGCCACACCTAGTGAATCCCTTCAGTCTTTATCTTTTTTTTTTTTTAATTTTTTTTTCAACGTTTATTTATTTTTGGGACAGAGAGAGACAGAGCATGAATGGGGGAGGGGCAGAGAGAGGGGGGGACACAGAATCAGAAACAGGCTCCAGGCTCTGAGCCATCAGCCCAGAGCCCGACGCGGGGCTCGAACTCACGGACCGGGAGATCGTGACCTGGCTGAAGTCGGACGTTTAACCGGCTGCGCCACCCAGGCGCCCCATCTTCAGTCTTTATCTTATTTGACCTCTCCATGGCTTATGACGGTGCTAATTGTATCCTCCTCCTTGAAAACCACTTTTCATCTTGGTCCATGGTGTGTTTTCCTAGTACATTTCTCTCCCTCCCAAGAGTGTCTTCTCAGTGTTGTAGACTGTCATCTCCCTCTCCCTCTTCTGTTAATAGACGTGGACCCCTGGACTCCACACTTACCTTACATGTCTCTTGTTGGTCATCTCTTGTAGGATTACAGTTTTCTCAATTACAACGTACAGATGGCGCCCAAAGACGGCACAATATACAGACATGGCGCCCATGACTCCAGTTCCTTCCTTCAAGCTCCGAATCCGAATGTCCAAAGGCTCACTGTCCATCTTTACCTGAGAGTTCCATGACGCTTCCAACTCACCGTGTCAAAACTGAATTCTTCACTCACCTGAGCCCTGTGATCCCCTCTGCCTGCAGCACCACAATCTGTCCAGTTACCCAACCACCGACCCAGAGGCAGTTCTCAACTCCTCCTTCTCCACTATCCCCATGTCCACTCAACCACCATCTCCTGAGAACTTTGCCTCCTACAAATTTCTCCACTCTATCCACACCCATTCGTCTCCACAATTACTATTACCTTGACTCATATGCTTGGTTTTGGACATATCGAGGGCAGGACATTCCACTGGAGATGCCCATTAGGCAACCGAACATTTCGATCTGGAGTTTGAAAGAGAGAGACATTAAGGTTTGAGGAACATGGATCGACGATGGGGCCCTTGGAGACATGCCCATTAAGAGATCAAGAAGGAAGATGGTTTGGCCTAAGAAGGCATGGTCAGAGGGCCGCAAGGTATCAGGATCATATTATTATAGAGTAAAGAGGAAAAAGAGGTTTTCAAGAAAGAGGAAGTGGTTGGCATTACAGCATGTCATGGAGGGGTCAAGTAAAATGAAGGCTGAGAGGAAGCCAGTAAGGTTGGCAACATGAGGCCACTGAAGACTATATTGGTCCTCAGTTGCTGCCATAACAAATGCCATAAAGCCAGCAATATAAATCTATGAAGTTACTTCCTACAGTTTCTGTAGGTCAGAGGTCCAGCATGGAGAAACTGGATCCTCTGCTCAGGGTGTTACCAGGCCAAAGTCAGAGTAGCGGCTGGGGCTGTGGTTCTCAACTGGGGCCCGGGGTCCTCCTCCAAACTCACTGATTGTTGGCCAAATTCGTTTTCTCCTCATGCTTGCCACCTAGCGCCCTCCCTCTTCAAGCCAGCCAATAGTGGTTGAGTCTTTCTCATGCTTTGAGTCTCTCTGCCTGCTTTATTTTTAAGGGTTCGTGGAACTACATTGGACCCACCTGGTAACCAACCTTTGTTCAGGTCAGCAGATTAGTAACCATTAGTAATTAATTCCATCTGCAAAGTCCCTGTAATGTAATATAATTATGGGAGTAAATACCAGAGGGTGAAAGTCACATGGGCAAAATTCTGCCTACCATGGACTTTGCTAGAGGATCTTGAATAAATTGTTAGGGTAAAAACCATACTGTGGCGTTTGGGGAAGTGAGGTAAATGTGCACGTAGACCATTCTGTTAAGAAACTTGGATAAGAGGAAAGAGACAACAGGGACTGGAAGGGAACTAGGGATTAAGGGTGGAGGAAGGGGGTTTCTGACTCTTTTCTGCTGTGCCTGTTGGATTCTGTGCATGGCTCTGGTCTGGCTTCCTTCCTGTGCTCTTGACTCCTATCCAGTTGCTAACTTGACATCGAATGCCCAGTGGGCATCTTGAACTTAACTCATTCCCGATGAGACTCT